GGGGATAATAGCACTTACCCCATAGGATGGATGCTTACAAAGCAATTAGCACAGGGCCTGGCACGTCGTATTCCAAATATAATAGTAAGGTGATGACCATCAACGACAAATAGAGACTGGCCCAGTGAGTTTCCACCAGAATTGGCCAACACTTCCGAAGCAGAAGCAGTATATAGAGTGTATGGTTTCCCAGAACACACAGTTTGACGTCAACACATCGGAGTTTAAGTCCCGGCTCTGCTATTTATAAGCTGGATGATCTTAGGCAGTTGCTTAACCCCTATGAACTTATGTTCCTCTCAAAAAGACGTATATTATTAACCCTCGGTTCTAGGATTGTATATGAATATAAAAATCTCTTGTAACTTGTAAAAAACAATAGTTGATGAAAAGCGCAGAGACGTACGTGCCTCTAGCAGGAAGACTGCCCCTCCCCCCCTTCTCCACTACAAGCACCAAAATTACAGGCTTTCTCAGAGGTCATAAGACAAAACTCAATTAACTTTTAGCTTCATACGTAATCCTCCAAACAGATAAGCAACTAATTATATTGCCCTGGGAAGCAAGATTACATGCAAATAGATTAAGGCTAAAACACAGTGGTTTTTTATCTTCATAAGCAACGAGGCACAATTAAATTTATGAGGTGTCATTACCGAAATAGGAGGTAATTAAGCATTTCTTTATTCAATAAGAGATGTCCGGATTATAGCAGCACCACATGGAAGTGTTAACCGAGCTTGGTTCACCAAGTGAAATTCAAGCCAGGTAAAATCCAAACGTATTTTGGACAGTTTTATTTACTGATGGTCAATATTCTTGCAGTAGACAACCACCACCACCTGTCATGATCCCCATTTTGCAGTTGAGAAGACAAACACTCTCAGGGAAAATAACTCACCCAGAGTCACACAAAGGGTAAAGATTAAATATAAATATACCCCATGAATTAATTAATTACCCACCTTCACCTTACTTGGCATTAATTTATACACAAAGCTATAAAAAAAACACATCGATGTTGTTGAGAATTTCTTAAAAATGAAAAACTTCTATTGAGTTTCCAGTACAGTTCAAAATCTACCTTAACCTAGGACACAATGGTACTAGGTGTTGTGAGGAGTACCAAAAAGTACAAAATATGGCCCCCTCTGTAAGGATAATTCGATTTATTTTGAGCTTTCACTTACATTGGTCTCTTTGAAATATCACAACCTCGGAGACAGGCCTGTGTCAGTCCCACTTTAAGGATTCTTGGAATTGCAGAGAATAAATAGTTTTGTGTACAGATGGGTTTTAAATAATAGGTGGAGTCACTTGTTCAGAGTGAGGGGTGGGGGGGGGCATCGAGGGTAGGGAGGTTGGAGCCTGAAAGAGAGGTGTCCCATGGACTCACCGGGAGCGCCAAGCTAATGCCACGTAGACGCGAGAAGGTTTGCCAAGTGCCAAACCAAGGGTGGCTCACACTTTATATGCAGGAAGGCTATCAGACACATTTTACATGCTAAATGTCCCAGGGGCTCATCTTCTTTCTTCACCTCACCCTAAAAACCCATTTACCCAGGATTTGAGATAACAAACATCAGTCAATCCACGGGGCATTTCCTGAATGTGCAAGTAGCCGCAGTTAATGAGGTTCATGAAAAAACCTCAGCCGGAGAGCATTTCATTAACTGCTGTCACAACTTATCAGCTCAGCCGATGCGAACATTCTGTATTGCAATCGTGTATTGGGAAGGAACCGGTCCCTCTTCGCCTACCCTTCTCTTTCCTCTGTGACATACAGGCACTGCCATCCTGTGGCCAGAGAGGGCACGGCCACGCCATTCTGGACAAACTCTACAAAAACGTCTCCCAACTAGAAGGGCTGAAATTGAGTAGAATAAGAAATGGAAAGGCAAGTCTCAAATTAAACAACAGACATATTCAGGCAGTCCTCAGTTTAAGACATGTGCTTATATGGTGGCTGTTTGGAATTCAAGACACATTTTCTCTTCGAAAGAACCCGCCCGTGTGATGAGCTTCTGTAGCTTGTGTACCAACACCTATTTAACCTGCCAACTTAGCATATGACACTATTCCAACCATGCCTCACAGCCCTTTGTAGCCAGTCTCCTACCGGAGCGTGCATGGGGCTCCAGCTGAGAATGGCATCTCGCCTCGCTCTGGAACGGCACCGTTCCCACTCCTCCCCCCTCGAACAGAACACTTAGCTAAGAGACATGCCATCGGTCACACAGGTCCTGAAGTGGCTCCTGTGCCTTTAGCCTCTCGGGCCCCGGTGAGGCAGATGTTCCTGGACACTCCCCAACTCTACGGTAGCTAAGGAGAAGGAAGAATGCTCCTGAGGTACTTATCAAACATTCTGAGCACCTCTTAAGTGCCTCCTCAATCTGTGCTGGGTGCTGAAAATACAGAGAGCCGTAGAACGTGGTCTCTGCCCTTCAGAAGCCACTGTCCAGTAGGACAAATAGAGAAGTCTGAGTTTACAGTATGATGTCATAAGTGCCACGGGAGGGACAATGACGGTATTATAAAGTGAAGGCTATGTGTTGGGCTCTTCCTTTTGTGAGCTTTTATATAGTACTGGTTATGTGCCAGGTGCTATTTTAACTGCTTACAAACCTCAACACATTCATCGCCATCTGAGACAGGTAGTGGGATTGTCCAAGTTTTACAAATGAGAAGCTGAGAGGTTGAGTTGCAGATACGGGATCTGGACCCAGTTGGTCTGCAGTGATGAGCAGACGAGAAAACATGCATCACAGCTCTGTGACAAAGGTCTGTTGTGCCTGTTTGACAGGCCCCTGAGGCTCTTTTCCCTCCCAGTGTGATGTGCTGCTTCACGCTGCCGTGGAAGCAGAGGAGATTCATCCAACTCAGGCCAGGGGTTGGAGCTGGCTTCCCAGGGGGGATAATTCTTGAGGTGTGTAGGAAGTATGACTTGGAGACAGGTATTCTGGGCAGCAGGAAGAGCGTGTGCCAAGATTCAAAGGCATTAAGGACAGGATAGAAATGGGAACTATACGTGATTCACTAGGACCAGAGCGGATGCCGGTGTGAACAGGAGACGAAGCTAGAAAACACAGGCAGGAGCAGCACGCAGTCCCACTGGGGTTACAGATTTAAGTATGAAGTGACGTCATCAGATTTGGCGATGCCTTGGTGGGACGCCAGATCATTAGGTGAACTAATTAGGAGGGCATCACAATAACCAAGGCAATAAGTCTCAACTAAGGCACTGGCCCTTAGGATAGAGAAGAAAAAATGCGTATGATGGGTTTCTTTGTATAGGGATTTGTCTTCACTGTTCATCAGCCCTGGACACCCCCCATCACCTGTAGGGTAAAGCCCAAACCCTTTGGATGGCCAGCAAGAGCCAGTTCCATCTGAGCGGAGCTTCTCTTTCGGCAGGAAGCTTCACTTCGGGCATGTGGGCAGGTGGCCGTGGGACACCAGCCTGCTCGCTATCCCCTCACAGGCTGTGGTTGTAACTCCTCTAGGCTTTTCCAAAGGCTGTTTCCTGGGCCTCTCAGATGCCCCCTTCTTTGTCCTCTTGGCAAACTGTTACTCATTCAAAGCCCATCTCAAATGCCCCCTCGTTGACTTAAAAAACGCTGAGCATCTTTTCGTGGAGATCCTCTTGGTATGAGATGCTTGGATGACACACAACACGGCCATTGGTGAGTTCAACTGCAGGAGCCCCTTCTTCCTCTTATTGACTTGCTCCATTCCACATCCATCTTCTACCAGGGATTCTCAGACTGTAGCATGTGTTTGGATCACCTGAGAATCTTGTTTAAAAAGCATATCCAACTTCAGTGGTTCTGGGTTAGGACCTGACATTCTGCATTTCTAACAAGATCCCAGGTGATGCTGATGCTGGTCTGCAGGCTGCATTTGAAGAGCAAGGCTTATACATTTTCTCAGTATAGTCTGATGAAAAAGCAATAAAAGCAATAATTTTTGTTTTTCTACACCAGACTGTTGAGGTAAAATTTACATACAGTGAAATGCACAGGATTTAAATGTACAATTCCATGGGTTTGGACAAATGTATACACTCCTGTGACCCATACCTCTCAAGAACATTCACAACGTTGCCAGAAAGTTCCCTTGTTCCCCTTTCCATTTCATCCTCCAAGTAAAGAGGGACCCAAAATGATGCAGTACAAGGAAATAGCTTTCTGATTCAGGAGGCTTGATCCCAGGATAAATTTAAAGAGGGGCAGGAAAAACTACACATCGTCCAGGCAATCCTACATAAAGAATATCAATGACTGATCTAACTAATAATAGTTGGAGCTATTATCCTCGTGTCTTCATTCATTTTTCAGTAAAGAACTGCACATACCCGGACCTGTGTTTTGCACGGACTAGCATGGTGAACATAGAGGCCCTGTGCTCAGGAAGCTAGCTCGCACCTCGCAGGGAAAGCGGACAAGGAGCCTGGGGGAGGCTTCTGGCACGCGGGGCATCCCTGGCTGAGACAGGGAAGGCTGGGGAGGAGGAGACAAAGCACACAAGTCATTCATAAATCTCACTCTTGCACGGCACTTTGCAAAACTTCCCTTAGAGATCTCCTCTCTTCGCAACAGCCCCGTGCCAAGACGGGTACGGCCATTCCCCTTTTATAGCTATGAAAACTGAAGCTTGGAGAGATCATCTAATGGTCACACATCGGTCAGTTGCAACGTGAGGCCTTTAGCTCCCTGGAAGCGCTCATGCAGGTTGTGGCCAGCTAGGTGGCAGGAATCACAAGGGTGCTCGCCCTAGGAGCCCAGACACTAGCCCCTGCCCCAGCGGTGGGCCTGGCTGACAGGAGCAAGCCTTTTGTATCCTTGATGACCCACTCCCTCCTGGGAGGGGAATCTTGGGCTCTGGTGCAGTCCCCTCGGGGGCATCCCCTGTGTGAGGCCCCCACAGAATGGCTATTCTAATTGCCACCCACGCTCCCTTGTGTTTTAGCATTTTGGCGCCCTGCTCCCTGCTCCTGCACCATGAAAATCCTGCTTTGTGATCTCCTGCTGCTCAGCCTCTTCTCCAGCGTGTCCAGCAGCTGCCAGAAGGACTGTCTGACCTGCCGGGAGAAGCTCCGCCCAGCTCTCGACCCCTTCAACCTTGAGGTAGGCCCTGGAGCATCCCTGTCTTCTCCTCCCTCCTTCCTCCAGACCCAGAATGAGAAGTCATGGCCTTGCCCAGAGGTCATGTGACTCGCCTGGTGTCACATGGTCCACAGGAAACAGGTGCAGGGCGTTCCCATCTTCTAAGGGCAAACCCTGTCATCTTCCCACTTTCCCACACTCAGATAAAGGCCTGCCTGTGCTGCCATCTTGTTCCCCTTATTAAAATAATGCATACTCATCTTGGAGAACTTGGCAAATTCCGAGAAATCTAAAAAGAAAAAAAAGAAAAAAAGAAAATTACCTTTAATCCCACCTGTCAGAAAAAGAACCCTAGTTTTTTCACTTGCTATATTATATCAGCATAATTTCCCCATGTTATTAAACATTATTTTAAGTTCCTTCTTTCTACGAATACAGTATAATTTGTTTAACTATTCCCCTCCTGTTGAACATCTACATTGCCCTCCATTCTTGATGTTATAGGTAATTCTACAATGAATACCTAGATGCGCCCTTATACTTTAAGTTTTGAATTTGAGGTGCAGATCTGGCATTAAGTTTCTTTTCATTAAATAAACTGCCTTCTCAACTGCTTTCATGTCAGTCTCAATAGTTATTCCTCTAGTAAATCCAATATAACTCAATTATTTTTTTCTTTGCGGTCAGACTTCTTTCATAAGATGTCATATTTCAAACCCCTCAACCTTTATTTTTTTAAGATTTATTTATTTATTTTTAAGATTTTTTTTTTAATGTATTCATTTGAAAGAGAGTGAGAACACAAGCACGAGCAGGGGGAGGGTCAGGGGGAGAGAAAGAAGCAGACTCCTTGCTGAGCGAGAAGCCCAAAGCAGGGTTCAATCCCAGGACCCTGGGATCATGACCCGAGCCCAAGACAGATGGTTAACTGACTGAGCCACCCAGGCGCCCCTTCTTTATTTATTTTAAAGAGAGAGAGAGATTGGGGGGAGGGAGAGAGGGAGAGAATCCCGAAACGGTCTCCCCACTGACTGTGGAGCCTGACTCGGGGCTTGATCCCAGGACACTGAAATCATGACCTGAGCTTAAATCAAGAGTCAGCCACTTTAACTGACTGAGCCACCCACCCAGGCGCCCCTCAAACTGCTCAACCTTTAAAAACAACCAAAAGTAACTACTGTCCCTTAAGGCGAGTGTGCAAGTATAGAACATATATTCACACTGGGCTAGTTCACTAACGATGAGCAGACGCAGCCCCTACAGACCCAAACACCAAGCCCTTCCCGCACCTGCTCAGTGGTTTTCGAGCCTGTTTTCTCGAATAGTAATAACTACGGCATCACGAAGAGCAGCCCCAGATAACCCATCCAATGTTTATCCATCCTTCTCATTCGTCCGTTGAGGGTGTTTCTGAGCATTTACTATATGCTGAGCCCAGGGCCAGGCCAAGGGATCCAAAGGTAAGCAGATGGATGGAGTTTGCAACCAGTGGGAGAGAAGATCCCACAATCCCTCCAAGAGGGATTAATTATTGGGTGCTGGGGAAGCACAGAGCAGTGGCCCCCAACCTAGACTAGAAAGACAGAGGGGGCTTTTGGAGGAACAGAAGTATCTAAGGAGACCTAAAGAGTGGGAGCAAAGAGGCAGGGAGAGTGCTCCAGGGGGAGGAGTCGGGGAGGAGCACCCAAGACAATGCCTGTACCCGGATGGTAAGTGGCATGTAAGGAACCGAGAAAACTGAGTTTAGAACCCAGGAGGACCACAGGCCTTTGCAGTGCAGCCCAGAGAGGTTTAGAAGTTCATCTACAAAACACCTTCCCCTGATCTTAGTAAACAGAGCAGACAACTTAGTTTACATGTACACCAGTGACGAGTTGATAATCTGATAATCACCACCCTGCTCAACTCTCAATTTGCAGTCTAGACAAGACGGAAAGTCATGCACAATTCTGGAATCTCTAGCTTTCATGGCAGCCCTTTATTTCCCACTCAAAAAAAGCATTAGGACTTAAACAGATATTTGTGCACCCAGAGAGGGATCTGCACTTGCAGCTTTGACCCCCTTGTGCTGCATCACTCCTTAGCTGCTGTCTCCGGAGTCCGGGGCCGGTTCGCAGGCTTCCTCCTCCTTGGGTCTCTTCCCCATTCCGACTCCTCTTTTTCTACTTCCCGTTGGGCTCCTACTCCCCTCCCCACTCTATAAACCCAAGTGACCCCCAAGATTCGGGGCTTATCTCCCCATGCCCTCTCCTTCTGCGATGCCATCCCTGGATCCCACGCCTTCGGCTCTCCCCAGGCTTCAGGTGACTCCCCACGGTACACTCCTCACCTCAGTCATTTTTCATGGTTCCTGACAAATCCCTCTTTCCCTTCCTTGGCCTTCCCAAGGCTTCAGGAACTCACCCCACCATTCTGTGCATGTCTCTCCCTCCTCCTTCATCCAATACTCCTACTTCAAAACTCAGATTAAACTTCACCTATGAGAACACTGTGCTGACTCCCCACCTGTCCCCAGCAGAGCCAGCCCCTCGCTCCTTTATGTCCTGACAGTTACTTGTGTCTGCTAGTGTCTCACCATAAGGTGTTTCTGATTGTGCTGGGGATGCCAGAGTGCGGCACAGAGCCGTACTCGGAGAACATGGTCCATGGTAATTGTAAGACTGCAAGATCCTTAGTCTCCTGGTGGGTCTATCCCCTGCAGAGGCTGCAGAGTTTTTACACTGGTGTCTTCCAAAGCCAGTAAAGAATTTGGAGCACGCTTCCATCCCTCCCTTGCATCTTAAATCTCTGGGGTCCAGACGACGCTGCTAGATACTTCTTTGAAACAAGTTAGAATATGGCCAGTTAGAGCCTCGCAATGAGGGAGAAATCTTTCAAAGTGCTTCCTGACCCTCAGAGGACCTGACTGCCTGGTTGTTGTGTTTCTAGTTTGTATTCACGTTTAACCTATTTTGAAAAGTTTGGTGAAATGCCTAGAATGTTGGCAACCACATCTCATTCCAAATCTTGCAACCCTTTTCCAACTCTGTGAATTAATGGGGGCTGGGGGAACTTAGATATTTCAGCAAGGATCATCTTCCCAATTCCTACACTAAATTATGTAATACTGAGCTATTCTCAGGACTCCCTAAATCCTCGGCTTTATCAAGAAGTTCTGTATTTCTCACTCCAGATCAATGGTCCAAATGTGGCTGGCTTTTTGTTAGACTATAATTTGGGTCAGTAAATGACTCTACACCCAAACCCAATGCAATGTCTTGGACTTCCACCTAATTATGAATGGTACTTACTCCATCAGCTTACATAGAAAAAACTAGATTCGAGCGCCCGGGTGGCTCAGCTGGTTAAGCGACTGCCTTCGGCTCAGGTCATGATCCTGGAGTCCCGGGATCGAGTCCCACGTCGGGCTTCCTGCTCAGCAGGGAGTCTGCTTCTCCCTCTGACCCTCTTCCCTCTTGTGCTTTCTACCTCTCATTCTCTCTCTCTCTCAAATAAAGAAATAAGATCTTTAAAAAAAAGGAAGAAAAAAACTAGATTCACTGAGTTGTTTCAGAGACAAACAAGAAGGTAACCCTCAAGGTCTGGGGAAATTTATTTACAACCTCCTGAAACTTGATTGATAGCAAAAGAAACTAACTTCCAGTGCTTTCTATCCTTTAATACATGAAAACTCTTACTCATTGATTTGCAGTAAGAGTTCCTAATATGTTTTTCTCTTGCACTATTTGTCTGCTTGCCTACTAGTGTTAGCCCTCAGATATTCTAGCAGAACCTCCTAAAGCAAGTAGCTCCCAAATGTCTCTTGGTCAGAGGTGATTTGATTCTTTAGTGGCAGAAACTTGACAATCTCAATGAGCCTCTTATTTTCCCTCCAATGGGTTCATGTGCCTCTATTTCCCTAATGTTTGATCCCAGACCTCCAAATGGCCCTTTGCTCAGTTTCCCCACAAACCCAGCTTTACAGATCAATTTGGCGCCAGTCTGAGACTTTCCAGATGCTCATTCACACTCTGGCTTACTATAGCAATGTCATCAGCATGGGCTGTGAAAATGTGTCCAGCTCACTTAATAGGCCATTAACCAATCTCTGGAAAGAGGCCGGTGGGTCCCTTAGACCAGAGCGTTAGGCATTAAGCTCATCTGCCCATCTGGTGCTACAAATGCTGTTGTGAATTTGGATTCCTCACATTTGCCCAAAACCTTCTCCTAAATCGAGAGTTGAGATGATTTTGTTAGTAGCTAATTCATCTAACAGTATGTTGAGTCTCTGTACAGCCTATGCATCTGGTTTGATCATAGAATTGTATTTTGTCTGATTGACACCTAATCTAATTACCATCTGGGCATAGCAACCCAGGGGCTCACAGAAGATCTAATAGCCTCTAGGTTTAACAACCTCCACCTGTTCTTGTAAGTGGAAGGAGCAGAATCATTCAAAAAGCATTTGGGGCTCCTATTCTGCGAGGAGTGGACCAAGTCTGCTCCAAGTCCATGTTAGCTCCAAAGTTGTACATTTCTACTGGATTTCCCAGTACTCCCCATGCTTTCCTGTTTTCCCCTGACCCTGCAGAGTAGGATTCCTCACACTCACCACTGTGGACATTTTAGGCTGGGTAATTATTTGTCATGGGGGGCTGTCCAGTGCATTGTGGGGTGTTTGCCAGCCTCCCTGACCTCTGCTCATAGGTTAGCAGTGGCATCTCCCCGCTCCCCGCCACCGTGTAACAACCATAAATGTCTCCAGACATTGCCCAATGTCCCCTGGGGACAAAATTGCCCCCACTAGACACCCACTGCTATAGAGGAATCACCCAATAGGACTACGATCTGAAAGATCGTACTACAAGTTTTTCTACCTGGTTTACTTCAAAGTATTTCAGGAGCAAGCTAAATACAGACCCAAGTAACCCTTTCTCTGAGGGATGCTCTGACCACTGTATTCCGTGATGACACCTTCCTCCTCAGGGCAAGTTCCAAAGCAGGATTTCTCAAAGTACAGTCCAGCCTCAGAATCACCTGGGTGTTTGCTAAAAATGCAGATTCCGAGGCCTCACCCTTGACTTACTAGATGAACATCTCCAGGAGTAAAGGCTAAGGACCTGCATTCTAACAAACCAGTAGCAAGTCTTAAAGAACACTCAGGTTTGTAGCTACTATTGTGTTAAAGTCTGCCCTTCCCACCTATGTAGAAGTTGCTTTCATACCCAGTGACACTGGGGTGTGAAAAAGTGATTTCTCTATGTATCTCTGCTGAGTTGGCACCGATAATATTAGTTCTATCAGCATCTCTGCAGAAAATCTAAGTGAAAAAGACATGCCCGTGACTTGTGTATCAGCAGGGACCACCGTAACTACCTCTGGCCAGTAGGGGCAGGGGAGGGGGCGGACTCGGCAAAGCCTGCACCTTGGAAACTGCATCAGTGAAGATGAGCGGCACTCCCACTGGCTACTGTCTCTTTCTCCTCTCTGGCCCAGCCGAAAATGAGCAATTTTCTCATCAGAACTTTACCTTTTAGTCTCGAAAGATCCTTACCTACTCTTGTACTCACTTGCACCAATTTGCATTGCAACACACAGAGCTCATTGAATAGGAGATGTCCTGGGTTGGAACTTGAGACATTTGGGTTCTTGTTCAGGTAATATCTTGTCTAATGGTGTAGTTTTGGACACATTACTGAACCTCATCATAACATGGGAACATGGACTATGTCAGTGGTTACCAAACCTAGGCAGATACCAGAATTACCTGAGCTTTGTCAAAGTAAGTTTAAATCCTGGTTCTATTCCTCGGGAATTTAACCAGCTTTTGAATTCTGTCTTTTTAAAAGTTCTGAGGGGCACCTGGGTGGCTCAGTTGGTTGAGCGTCCGACTCATGATCTCAGGGTCATGGGATCGAGCCCCACGTCGGTCTCTTCTTCTCTCCCTCTGTCCCTCCCTGCCCCTGCTCTCTCTCTCTCACTCTCGCTCTCGCTCTCGCTCTCAAATAATTCCTGAGATGATCTGGATTCACACCCAGACCAAGCAGAAGAGCAGACTTAAGGTGGGGAAAGTATATTAGATAATTAAATTCACCTGCCAGTAAGAAAGACCTAAAGGAACAGTGGCTTAAATAAGACAGAGATTTGATTCCTCATAAGGAAGTTGGGAGGTAGACAGTACGGGGCCGGTATGGCAGTTCTGCCACATCACCAATGTCCCAGGCTCCCTCTCTTTCTACTTTACCTGTATACGGGTGCCACTCTCACACGGCTTCCGTCCCCTCAGTCACTTCACAGCTTCAAGATAGCCAATTGAGCACCAGCCAAAATGCCCACATTCTAAGCAGGAGGCTGGAGGAAGGGGAGAAAGAAGGGAAAAAAAGACGCTCTCCCCAGATAAGTCAGCCTCCTGCTTTCCTGGAAGCCCCACCTGGTTACTTCCGTTTATATGTCATTGGCTGTCTCTGGCTACAAAGGAGCTTGAGAAACATATGTGTGGCCTTTCTTCCTGAAGGAAGAAAACAAGTGTTCTGTTAGGAAGGAAGAGGGGAGATGAGTATGGAATGGACAACTGGCAGTCTCTGCCCCAGAGGGAATTCTTAACAAATTGCATTTAAAGTGCTAGTCAGACACTTTGATGGAGATACCAGAGGTCAGAGAAGTGTTGGGAGTTCCGTGTCAGGTGCTGGACATACAGACATGGGATGCCCTGAAAGAAATGACCAAAATCACAGAAATGAACAGTCACCAAGGGGCAGATTGTAAAGAGAGATGAGAAGAATCTTAAAGATAGAACCTTAGGAACACGGGAGGAAGGAGCACAAACAGTCTGAGAGGCGAGTGCAACATCAGAGAATTTTCAGGAGGGTGTGGTCTGCATTGCCAAAGGCGGCACAGTCTGTGAGAATGAGGGCTGATTGGATCCGGTGACCGGGAATTCACCGGTGGTCCTCGAGAAGGCAGTTCGTGGAAGATGAGGGCGGGAAGCAGATTTCAAGGAGATGAGGCAAAAATGGAAGATGCTGAGATGGTGGCATGAATGCAGACCACATCTTGGAGAAGCTTGGCGGGGACAAAAGAGGGTCAGGGTCAGGGGTGGCAAAGGGTTGCAGGGGAAGCAGGACTGGAAGAACCATTTTTTCAGGTCTGGTGGGACAGCTGTAAGGTGTGTGATTTAGCTGCATGCACATCGCACTCCTTGGTTAGGGTTCAGGTTGGGAACTTTGCCCATATTGGTATCTTTTCCACTCTGAACACGGGGGGCAGGGTTTCAATCCCCAGAAAGGGGATATCGGGCACACACACCAGTCTTCTGATGTCCTGCAGCTGTCCAGACAGAGCAGTAACTCTTGATGCCCCATTAGCCAGGCAAGATCTCCAAGTGTGATGAAGGGCTCCACGGCTGCCCACTGACTATGATGGCAAGGCCAGGTTGAAGAGGGATTTTCATCTGGCTGAGCACAGAAACACAGAGAAGCAGTCGGGGTGAAGCCAAAACAGCAGATAGTAAGAGAAGTTGGAGGTTAGACACTTCCAAAAGACCCAATCAGAGATAGGAAAGTGGGAGGTAGGGGCAAGGCCAGGACCATTCAGGAGGGCTGTGGAAACATCATGGCCAGGCTCTCAGTCTAGACTAGAAGTGGGAGACACCTGAAGAGACAGAGCAGCATCAGAAGTTCCCAGGGGCCTGGCAGGTCCACTGGATAGCATCTGATGGTCCCTCTTCCCCACCTGAACCCGATTGCCAGTCTGCCTACATTCCAAAGGGTCTTGACCCTCGTTTTCTATAACTGATGCACAGATAGTGATAACTAGTGTATGTGGGATGAAAAATGAACACCACTAAGGTTCCTCTTAACATGGTGACCTTAAAATGGCCATGCAGATATAAGTACATGCTTTGACGTCTGCAACTTCTTAAACCAATCTGACCTCTCTCAAGCCTGATAAGAGAACAAAATAAAATCCTTCTTTATGGGTGACCCTCGTGAGTTGTGTTTGGCTCCAAAAACTCAGCTAGGGCTCTAACTGGGTGTAGTTTAGGGCACTCATTCTGCGTTGACTTTCTGTGTCACCTGGGGTAAATTAATCTCACCTCTGAGCCCTGAGTTTCTTCATTTGTGAAATGACGGAGCTGGGACAGATAGTTTTCTGTGTCTCTGCAACTCTGAAATTCTATGAACCTGAGTAACTACATGTAAAACTGCTACATGGTCCTTAATAAAGAGATGCTTCAGAGTCACTTGCATTGGTACCGATGTGGATTTGGTATCCAATAGAAAGACTTTATGTCATTGCCTTGGACTAACAGACATTCCCAATCCTTCTCCTTTCTCCGGCCTCTATCTTTGCAGGTGTGCATCCTTGAGTGTGAAGGGAAGGTCTTCAGCAGGCCTCTCTGGACTCCGTGCACCAAGGTCATGACCAGGGGCTCCTGGCAGCTCAGCCCTGCTGACCCAGAGCACGTGGCAGCTGCCCTTTACCAGCCAAGCGCCTCCGAGATGCAACTGAAGCGCATGCCTCGCATCAGGAGCCTAATCCAAGCCCAGAAAGGGACAGAGCCTGGCATGGATGAGGCTGGAGAGATGGAGCAGAAGCAGCTGCAGAAGAGGTTCGGTGGCTTCACCGGGGCCCGGAAGTCGGCCCGGAAGTTGGCCAACCAGAAGCGGTTCAGTGAGTTTATGAGGCAGTACCTGGTCCTGAGCATGCAGTCCAGCCAGCGCCGGCGCACCTTGCATCAGAATGGTAATGTGTAGCTGGAAGGGGAGCCCCTCCCAGCTGCACCGTCCACTTCAACCCATGAGTGAGTTGGGCACAAATGAGCTGGGGGTGAAAAGAAACCTTATATACCCAACTGTCTTAGCCTTCCTCCTGGGCCTGGAAGCACATTAGCCCCCAAATACATACACACACACCCCACACCACCTCAAGGTGTTCAGCTCCTGGAAGGCCGGGGAGGTATATATTCACCTCCCCCACCTCCTACCCACCCTTTCTCCAGGGAGCAAAGATTTTCCTAGGCTTGTTCCTTAAGGCTGACCACTGCCATTTAGAGATTGGTTACCATGGGGATAATAGTAGCATGTTAAGATAACTAATTCCTCTATAGCTCTCCAGGAGCTCAGTTACTATGGGGACAGTTAAGTGGACCAATCTGCCTAACCAGTTGCCATAGCAACCATTCAGTTCACCTTTCCTCAGAGTCTGTCTCTAAGAACCCATAGCTGGACCTACCTCTAGCCATTTGCAGTCTGATTTCTGTGGCCATGATGTTGCTATTTCACCTTTGAAGACAGCTTAGCTCTCTCCTCCCCTACCCCCTGTATCTCGAGGGGACTGGATTGCACAGAAACCCTTTCCCACTCTCCCCCTGTCAAGGAGTTCTTGTTAGGACCAGGAGTTACACTTTCAGCCCTTCTTCCTTCCACTCCTCATTTGTCCACCCTGCCACTTTGCCAGAGGTGGACTGATTCCCTGAAGTCAATGGCATCATCCCTGAGCAAGGCTTGGAGAATCTGGCCCACCTGACCAAGTAGTTTTAGAATAGAGACTAACAGATCACCATCCTTCCTCACTTCCGCTTCTTCCTGAGAGCCATTTTTGTTTTTGTTTGCTCGCTTGCTTGCTTTTACTCCTCTCCCCCTCCTGTCCTTCCCCCCGTGGGAATGCTTATACACGTACTATATTACAAATCAGACAATAAACAATCAAAACCCCTAATTTATTGCCCAGTCGTTACAAACTCCACTCTCCGCAGCCCATCAACCTGTACAGAACTTCAAGTGGCATAGGAATTCCTATTCCACTAGCACAGTGGAATTTTCTGAAAATCTAAGAAAATCTCACCCATCAGGCATATGTGCCTTAATTCATGTTTGGGAATCTGACTATCTACAAAGCCTCGTACCTCTTCTTTAACAGTCTAGAAACTCACCTTAACGGAAAGAACTAATCAGTTGGCCAGAAACATTCCCCAAACATTACCCAAGCGGGACTTTTCCGAAACCTAACTCAGGGGCATTAAAAAAAAAAGAAGAAAAAAAGTCTACATGTGCTGTTTTACTTTGCTTTCCATATGTCAAAGGTAGTCAGATCATTAATAATCTTCATTCAAAGCGTGTTAATACAAAGGTTAATCTTTGGCAGCCACACTTCAGCATGGGGGCAGCCCACGTAGCTCTTTGCCGGTAAGCGGGTTTGCAAAAGGCCCATTGCCAAATACAGACGTCAGTATTAACTTGTGAGGAGAAGGCTGCCATGTGTATTTTAGCAGAATGACTAATCTCCAAAGGCCCTGAATTAACCCGCACCGTTTTTGAAGTCATACTCTTGGATCCTTAACAAGCATCCTATTTCTTCCTAAGCCATATTTGCACAGTACCTAATACAGTATATCTTTCAGAAGTGGCATGGACTGAATTCTTTCAAATCTTAGACATTTATTCTTCTTAAAGTGGCTCTTAAGGGACACTGAGGCTCTTGTCTAATTCTGAACCACAATTATTTTCTTTACCTTAAGACAGTTTAAAATCAGTCACATTAGCAGGAATCAATTCATTAAAAAAAAAAAAAAAAAAACTATTTGGGCCCCTATTGAGACAATTGATTCTGCTAGTTTTCTATTAAGCTTCCAGCTGAGAGGCACTGAAACATAACTGGTAACTAGCTTCTGTCTGCTGCTTTGCTCAAGACATAAAGTTCTTGATGGAACCATTGGAAACGTTAACCAGCTCATTTGGGTGTATTATTGATTGCTCTCCTTCCTCTTTCTGCAACCATCTCTCTGTTTCCTTTTTTGCACACGTTCATGGTGGCTGAGTTCCAGTAGGGATGTGTACTTACGAGTCCACCCCAATCAGCTTAAACCCTGTCTTCACTCACCTACACACACCCCAACCAGCCCCACACACTCCTGAGGTGTCTCCATGGGCGGCGGGCGGGGGGCGGATCCTGTTGCCGGGCTGTTCTGGACTTCTGAGATACCCAATACCAAACTATACTTGCAAGGCTGCAGGAAGTGGGGCTTCCTAACACCAAAATGGGTAAGAACCCTATTTAGAAGGTGTAATGTGTTAGGAAGGAGGGACACTGAGGTGCAGGGACAGTCCTCGACAGAACTGTGCAAAGGGGTGTCCACCTCCTGTCCCTTTCCCTGTCCCTATTCTTCTCTATCTTCTGCCCCACGCCTTGACCCTTCCCGATGGTGCAAAGTGTGAGCAGATTCATTCATCGTGAGGAATTGGTGAAATCAGGTTTAAAGAGATATATAAGAGAGCCATAAATGAGGACACTATTTAGCCTCAAGAAATGAATTATTGCACATGGATTCCAAATATTAGGGCTAAGAGAGCTGTTTCTGGGCACAGGGCCTATGCTATGCCTCTCAAGTCTCAGCCCACAGACCTCCTCTTTATTCCGCGTCCTGCCAGTAGACTTGAGGCCAGAAAGAGCAGGGACATAGGGGACATTAGGGAACCCTACTTGCGGCTTCAGGAGCTCTTCATGCAGTTGATAAGCTTGTCATTGCCTCCCTACTGTTGCTCAGGCAAACGGGATTGAAAGGTCAGAAAAATTATTGGGTTTGCCATTTTAATCATTTCTGTCTCCCCAGGTGTCCGGGTGATCCCCAAAACAGCATGTCTCCAGCCCCAGACCTGCCGGCTGGGAATCGGGACTCCTTCTTCCCCAAGGCACTGAGGCAGGCTTTGCCTCCAGGTCTCCGCCCCCAGGGCAGAGACGCTCCCTGTCCAATTGTCTTTCCCTCCCCATTCCCCCGCCCCACCCCCATGGCATGTTTCATGACAACCTTGTTGCTACATCAGAGTGTATTTTTGTAAATCCTCCAGCTAACATAGAAACAGCCCCATTTTTCCTTCTCACTCCCCTTTCTTCTTGGGGGGGGGTCAAAGCAACAGGAAACCAAGCCTGGGGTTTTGACTTGTCACTGCCATAACTTGTTTGTAAAAGAGCTGTTCTTTTGGACTGATTGTTTTAAACAGATATTTCTCCATTAAACTTCTACTGAGCAAATGGTTAATAAACTGGTTGGCTATTTTTAAGTGAGGTAACAGAACTGCGCCATCAGAGCTGCTCTCTTGGGAAGCAGAGGCAAAAAGCACATGGCTCTGCTTGCTATAAAGCACGACAGGCAAGAATATGTGAGCATAGGGCGCCTGGGTGGCTCAGTTGGCTAAGCGACTGCCTTCGGCTCAGGTCATGATTCTGGAGTCCGGGGATCAAGTCCCACATTGGGCTCCCTGCTCAGCAGGGAGTCTGCTTCTCCCTCTGACCCTCTTCCTTCTCGTGCTCTCATTCTCTCTCTCAAATAAATAAATAAAATCTAAAAAAAAAAAAAAGAATATGTGAGCATAAATACCCTGATTGTGCTATATCTCCAGATCCAAGTGTGTGAATGGATGAGGGGGCGGGCAGGGTGCTCGGAACCTCCCAGTGCCCATCAGCACCCCGGCTTGGGCAGCTCGCTGAGCTCCACCCCCAATTTCTGACTCTGGAGGAATTTGCATTTTTAACAAGTTCCAGGTGATGCAGATCTTGCTGGTTTGGGACCACTGGATGGAGACATGAGGAAAAAGCAGTGAATTCTTATCTCCTAATTTAACATGAAACACGTTAAGGTGTAATTGTCAGGCCAAGAAACATATGGTGCACCCAGACAGGGTAAATGAGGAGAGTCAACCGTCTACAGTGTAGACGGGGTGATGGGAAATCAGTAAGAGAGGGTAAGGAGCTCTTCCGGGGAGTCCTGGTGAGGGGGAGTTACTACTACTGGAACCCAGGGAGAACTGTAGCTCCCCCCCGCCCCGCCCCCGTAGCTCTCAGTAGGGAAACGGTAGCCATTCAGACACTGTGTGGTGCAGGAAGGGCCAGGAGACACAATATCCCAACTTCTCTCTCCTCCGGCCCTTTAGACCCCAGTCTGGTCTCACCTGTTGATCAGATCCAACTGGAAGCTGGCAAGTTAAGGGTGCATGCATGCAGCCACTGAGGTGAGCCTGGGAGGTGCAAATGGAGAATGTGCAGCCCGAAGTCACAACCGACGTAGAACGGCTTGGGCAGACTGTAGCTTAGCCGTGGATTGTACTGGGACTTTTCTTGGGGGCGGGGGCGGGGGATGGGGGCAAGGAAAAAGGGGCAGAAAGGAGCCCTCTGCTCTACCACAAGGTAACGGAAAAGGCCAGAAGAGCACCCCCATACCAGCTTTACCAGCTGCTGGGCTTGAGTGGATGTAATCCAGCCCTGGGGTCCGGGGGCGTATCACTCTCTCCGCCAGGCTCCGTTAGGGGTCCCTAGGTCCCACTCCCAGAGATGCCTGCGGTCCCGGAAGCTGAAATTGCATACAGCAGTTCTGGTACAGCAAGAATAGGGTGTTACTTCCTGCTTCCCACCCAGACCAGCTTTATCTAGCCCTTTGGGCCGTCACGGGACATGGAATCAATGAACTCAGGGAGTGCCCCGTGTCGCTCCCTGTAGTCAGAACCCATCCCATAAGCAGAGTATGACTTTTTCCTAAATCATCTGCCAACTCCTCAGCAAATTCAGGAATATAGCCAAGAACATGCTCCCCACTGTCCATATACAGTACAGAAAAATGCTTACTGCCTGGCTTACAAATCTTAGGGTCCTCATCTCCCAGTCTATGACCTCAGGTAAGTTCTTTAACCTCTGTGCCTCCCTCTTCTCATCTGTAAAATGGGAATGATAGTAGTAACTCTTTCATGAGGTTATTTAGGTAAGC